TCAAATGAAATATCACAAATAAAGAAAGAAAACAACATAAATCCCTCACCTTAATCTCATTCTCTCTTACATATTCAACAAAATTGGCTGCTGCATGAAAATAACCTTCTTCCCTTTCTTTATCTAGGTTGAAAGGCTCAATTTCAATCCCGGAAAACCCCTCTTTTTCGTCCACCGAACAGTCCACACTCCCGCGGCACTCCGGCGGCACTCCGGGACAGGGACGGAACCACCTGGGACGAAGCGACACCTTCAACGCCTCCCTAAGTCGCTGGGCAGGAACGGACGGAACACGATGACGTGTTCGCTTCGACAGGTCGACGTCGGACCTACGGCGCCCCTGAAACGAAACGGGCTGGAGGCGTTCGATCTCTCCGACACGGCCTTCAACAGTGAACGGCGGCACTCCGGCAAGCACTCCGTCTCTCTCTCGCTCGTGAACCCTTTCTCCAACTCTCTCGTCTCTATGTCTAGGTCACACGGATGGCGTCCCCAAATGTTCGCGCCGCTTCTCTCTCTACCAAGTTCGAATATCATTTCAAATTTGAAATGCACACCCTAAACTGCCCGTGCCCGTCCCTCGCCACGTCACAATTGAAGCAGGTTTTCTCAGATTGCAGCAGCTTTTTCCATTTAAAACGTGGACCGCTCAAACGCTGACACGTGTGCCGTGTTCAAATGTTGTCAAATTTGGTTGTTCGAGTATCATTTTCCATAGAACAATAATCTTTTGTGCTTCTCATTTGTAACTATGAATACTTATTTTTTAGACTATATTTAAATTTAGATTTGATTAGGCTCGATTTGAATTATATTAAACCAATTTAACTTGATGCGGAATTAACCCAATTATACATAATTTGACCTAAATTTAACCTTGTTAAATCCATAATCTTAATTTAATTTGAATCTGACTTGAGTCAGTCTAATCGGAATTTAACTTAACCTAATTCAAACAAGAAAAAAATATATCCGGTTAAAACTATTTTCTTATACATTATAAATTATGTAAATTTTAGTGATAGTTTTTGTAAACATATTTATTTTTTTTTTATAAAATTAAAAGTAATTATAAGAAAATAAAAAATGATTTGATACTAAAAGTAGTAGTATTTTATTTAAAAAAATAAAAAAAAAATACTTTGTGCACCAAGTTGAGTGATAAATGATAATATGTAAATGTTTATAATCAATTTTAAAGTCCTTTTCTTATTTTGTTCTTTTATACGACTTTTGAACCATCTTCTTATAATTTTGTTAATTTTAAAGTTGTGGTCCATTTTTTTTATAATTTTGATTAGTTTTCATTTTGCAGTTATATTTTTATCAACTTATGTTTGGAAATTGATGTTATTCTACTAATAATGAAGAAACAAAAAAAATTCTTTAAAAAATATTATTAAATATGATTAAATATTTTAGTGGTGACAACTTAAAAAGTTTTTAGAAAGAAAAATAACTCGTACACTTCTTTTACATAACTTAATAAATTATTTTACGTGCATTAGATTAATATTTTTGTCCTTTTCTAGGTTTTAGTGTTTTTTATAGTTTAAATTTTCACTTTAATAGAACTGATTGAGACATTTGTTTGTTAATAAATTTTTAAAGGTTTAAAATTCAACATTTTATATTTCTAAAAACATTATTTTAGTCATTTTTAACTAATAAATAGATCAATAGACACATGTACCAATAATTTCGTTAACTAATTTCGTTAGCTTTTAATGCCACTTGAAATTTTTTAAAGTCTTCCCCCAAAAATTACGTTTTCTATATAATAATTTTAAAATTTTGTTGCATATTATTTTTTGTATAATTATTTTGAATTTTAATGTTAAGTACATGAATATACGTAACAGTCTTTTTGTAGTTTGTCTAGGTTGGGGGTGAATTTAGAATGTTATATATATGGCTTACTAAGAATGCTAACCTCACCAATATCGTCTCTTTTGATACATTCTCAAGAATTTGTCTTTGTGATGATAATCACTGAATTCTCAATGATGAGTCCGATTCATTTGAAACTGATAATATTGATGGTGTGTGTGGCATTCAAGGTTGTTGGTGGTGAGCATGAGATTAAGTGCTTAGAAAGGGAGAGGGAAGCACTCCTCCGATTCAAAGCTTCCCTTCATGATCCCAATGGCATGCTCTCGTCTTGGACCACTGCTGATTGCTGCCAATGGAAACGTATTCACTGCAACAACCTCACTGGTAATATCGTAAGCCTCGACCCTCACGCTGAGTATGATTATGAAACTGAATCATGGTCTTATATCAGTGGAGAGATCCACGAGTCATTGATTGAGTTGCAACAATTAAAGTATTTGAATCTCAGTTTTAATTCTTTTTCAAACAACTATATCCCAGAGTTTCTTGGTTCTCTCAGCAACTTGAGATACCTTGATCTCTCGTGGTGTTTTTTTGGCGGTAAAATTCCAAGTCAGTTTGGGTCTCTTTCTCATTTGAAATACTTGAATCTAGCTGGGAATGGTCTTCAGGGTTTAATCCCTACCCAACTAAAAAATCTTTCTAAGTTGGAATATCTTGACCTCAGCTACAACTCTTTTGAAGGAAATATACCATCCCAAATCGGAAATCTTTCAAACTTACAACAGCTTTACCTTGAGGGAGCTTACTTCAACGATGGGGGTAAGTTGTTGTCTAATCTCGTTTCTTTAACCCATCTTTACTTGATATCCATACATGGTCTTAATAGTTCTCATAGTTGGCTGCAAAAGCTATCAAAACTAAGGGAGCTAAGCTTAATTGATTGTAGTCTTTCTGATCATTTTATCCTTTCATCGAGGCCTTCCAAATTCAACTTTTCTACTTCCCTTTTGGCCTTTCATCTTTCTGTGAACACCTTCACGTCACCCGTGATATTCGAGTGGCTGACAAATATCACTTCCAATCTTGTTGAGCTAGACCTTGCTGACAACAACTTGGAGGGCTCTGTATTCAATCATTTTGGCATGGCAATGAATTCTCTTGAGCACCTTGACCTTTCCGATAATACTTTCAAGGGTGAGGTTCTGAAATCTTTCATGAATATATGCACTTTACATTCTTTATACATGCAAAGAAATAATTTCACTGAAGACCTTCCATCAGTTCTTCATGAGTTGTCTAGTGGTTGTGTTAGATACTCGCTACAAGACTTGGATTTGACAGACAATCATATTACTGGATCCTTATCTAACCTTTCAACATTTCCAGCTTTGAAATCATTGTATCTCTCAAGAAATCAATTAAATGGAAAAATAGCAGAAGGTAACAAATTGCCAACTCAATTGGAAATTTTATCAATCTCACAAAACTTTCTAAAAGGCGGAATTCCAAAATCATTTGGTAATGCATGTGCCTTAAGCACCTTAGACATGAGCTATAATAACTTGAGTGATGAGCTTTCACTGATAATACATCACTTATCTGGATGTGCTAGATATTCATTGGAACAATTATATCTAAGAATGAATAAAATCAGTGGCACACTACCTGACCTTTCAATATTCTCATCTTTGAAAGTGTTGCATGTTGATAGAAACTTGCTAAATGGAGAGATTCATAAAGACATTCAATTTCCACCTCTTCTAGAGGAACTAGACATGCATTCAAGTTCGTTATACGGTGTGTTCACTGACCATCATTTTGTTAATGTATCCAAGTTATCTTACTTGGACCTATCTGACAACTCATTAACCTTGACATTTACCCAAAATTGGATCCCACCTTTTCAGCTAAGTTACATATCGTTACGATCTTGCATATTAGGTCCAACATTTCCCAAATGGTTGCAAACACAAAATGAATTTCTTGATCTTGACATTTCAAATTCTACAATATTGGATATGGTTCCAAGGTGGTTTTGGGCTAAATTGGCTTTGGGAAATACCATTTCAATAGACATTTCAAACAATGGTCTCTATGGTATAATTCCAAATTTTTCTGGAAAGAATATTGTTCCTGACTTAAATCTTGCTTCAAATCAATTTGAAGGTTCTATTCCACTATTTCTACGAGGTTCCGGATCTCTTGATTTATCTAATAATAATTTTACATATTCTCATTCATTTATATGTAGTGGTTCTGATGAAACATTATATCAGTTAGACCTTTCAAATAATAATCTTTTTGGACAAATACCAGATTGTTGGAGTCATTTTAAGTCATTAACTTATTTAGATTTGAGCCACAATAAATTTTCAGGAAAGATCCCTACTTCATTAGGATCACTTCTTGGTCTTCAAGTATTGTTATTAAGAAATAATAACTTATCAGGGCATATCCCTACTTGGATTGGGAGCAAAATGCAAGAGTTGCAGATTTTAAGCTTGGGAAGTAATAATTTCAATGGAATTTTCCCATTACAAATTTGTTATCTAAAAAACATCCAAATCTTGGATCTATCGCTAAATAATTTATCTGGAAAAATTCCTACATGTATAAATAATTTTACGTCAATGGTTAACAAGACGTTTTCAAGTGGTTATGAAAGTCCTTGGTATATTCTTCCAAATGATCAAGGGAGTACCTATGAGCCATATTTAAAGGCATTCTTGATGTGGAAAGGTTCAGAACAAATATTCAAAACTCATGAATTATTACTTTTAAGAAGCATTGATCTTTCAAGCAATAACTTTTTAGAAGAAATTCCAATGGAAATAGAGAATTTAGTTGAGTTGATTTCATTGAATTTGTCAAGAAACAATTTTACTGAGAAAATTCCTTCAAATATTGGAAATTTGAAATCACTCGAATTTCTTGATTTGTCTAGAAATCAATTTGTTGGTTCAATTCCTCAAAGTCTTGCTCAAATTGATCGACTCACTATGTTAGATTTATCATACAATCATCTAAGTGGAGTTATTCCAACAAGCACACAACTACAAAGTTTCAATATCTCGAGTTATGAAGATAATCTTAATCTTTGTGGACTACCACTGAAAAAATTGTGCAATGATGATGGGCTATCTCAAGAACCTCAAGAACCGGTCATTGAAATTCATGAACATTCTCTGTTTGACCATGAATTTTACATCAGTATGGCATTGGGATTCACAATAAGCTTCTGGATTGTGTTTGGCTCAATCTTATTTAATCGTTCTTGGAGACATGCTTATTTCAAGTTCTTTAACCATTTAATTGATGACATTTATATGGTAGCGGTAAAATTCGCCAATTGCAAATGGAGCAAGTAGATTAACAGGTAATAGTGTTATAGTATTCAGTTTTGTTTACAAGGAAAAATTGATGACATTTATATAGTAGATTAACAAGGAAAAATATGTTTTATTTAAAAAAAAAACTTATCTTATGACAGTATTCTTTTTCATCACAGTTTCCAAAATGAATGCCTCTTTTGTACTTTTTCTTTAAAAAATCCACACATCTCAAACTTTTCATTATCAAAATTGATTAAAATTTGTATATCAATTTGACTTATTCCATGTTTGAGTTAGATTAAGTTTAAATAGATTATAAATTTTCACTGATATCTGATCCACTTAAAAATCTAACTCACTCAAATTAAGAATGTTTGATGAGTCAGGACTCATCAACTTACCTATAAGTTTAAAATTATATTAATAAAATGAAAATAACTCTAAACTTAACTTCCCTATAAGTTTTAAATTATATTAATAAAATGAAAACTCTAAACTTAAATCCTTATGTGTTGTGAATTTCTTCATTCAAAACTATAATATTATAGATAAATAAGTGACAAGAATAATTTGATATTATATATTAATTTATTTTGTATTTTTGTGCTTTTAAATTGTATTTTTATGTTTTTGGATTATAATACGTATCTTTTTAAATCATAAAAGTTAACATGCAATTTCTTTTATTTTAAAACATAAATATTTACCCAGTTTTAAGATACTTTCTCCTTTTATTCTCTATAGTCTACTCAAGTACAACTTTGCTTTCTACCATTTCAATATTAACTTCTTCTTCTTCTTTTTTAAATCTTGGCTTGTTTTAAAATGGGCAACTTATCCCACTTAGGTGATATTCAATCTAAATCTAAATCTTATTGGTTAAATCCTTGTAGATAGTATCCAATCTCAAACATCTTTAAAAAGCCATAACAAAAAAATAATTCTTTTGGTCAATGAATATTGAAATGGATCAGTTCATATGAAAGTCAATGTTTAAACATAGTAGATTTTACCTTCAAATTAATTTTTTGTAAAATATGTGTTTTTTATGCATCTCATTGTTATAAAATTACAAATATTTTTTTTTTCTATTTTCCTTTTAGTACTTTTATGTTCATAAAAATAATAAATGTGATATCTCTAATTTATAACGATAGTAAATCTATTTTGATGAATCGAAAAGTGATAAAAATTTGTACAGGATGGAAAGTTGAACATTTGTAATTTTGTAAAAACAAAACGTATATTTATTTTAAAAGTTGTTATCAAATTAAAACTAAATCTTTATATATAATTTTAGGAGGACAAAATATATATATATATAATTTGTAATCTTTTTTTTTTTCATAAAGAAGATGACTCAGAGAACCTTTTGAAAAGTTGGATTAAGTATTTAATTCATGATCCTTCATAGTTTGTACTTTAAAAAATATTTACTTTATTCTTTTTATAAAAAAAATATAATTCATTAAACTAAATTAATTAATTGAGAGCAACAATTCATTTACACATTGTGTTATTTTTCAGCATCTTGAAGAGCACACGCCTCTTACATATCTCAAATATTTGAGCTTCTAAGCCTGGCAAAGCAACTTTCTAGAAGGAAATAAGCTTCAAGTATGGCTGTTTTAGTTGTTGTATACATGTTTTCATTTTATATGGTGTTTGTATTTATGTAACTTTTGTTAGAGTGTTTGATGTTGTTCTCTGTTTGCATAAATTGGGATGATGAAGTTCAAGAAGAAAACTCTTTATTAGCATTGTTGTTATATTCAAATATTTGCAATCTATTATGCTAATAATCCCCTTCCATACTTTTTATCATCAAAAACTTTGATTTTGTAATCACATTAATCATATAAGGATTTTAGCCTGAAGAAATTCAACCATTTTGGAACATGCCATACTGCCATTTTTAATTTATAGAAATAAGAAGTGAATTCATGATCCCATCAAATGATATTCTTTGGTATTAATGCTTAAATTACTTGAAATGCTTAAATTACAAAAAGGAAATTACTTCAATTCTTAAAATATGCACAAACAGAATATATGTTTGTAGTATCTAGTGATGTGTTTGGTCTATGGTACAAAATTTTAAATCTATTAATGACATTCTAAAAATATTGTATTATTTTCCTCCCTTTACATTTAAAATATTTGTAAGATTTTTTTCTTGATAATAAACATACACAAAATGTTTATATGAATAATAATTTAGCCTCTACATTATCAATTAAAAATAATTTATGTTAAATGTATAATTGATATTAATTAAGACTGCAATGGAAGAGCACAAGGAGCTTCTGGCTGATCTTGTTTGAAAGTTCTGTTTGGATATTCATGCAAGCTTTCGCCTCTTCCATGCTATTGACTAAAAGCTAGCTCTTCAATTTAGGTTTTATTTATTTTGTTTGTTCTTTGTTGATTTTGAAATTTGGGTTTTCTTCACCTATGTTTGTTCTTTATTGATTTTGGATGTGTGGGCTTTCGTTAAAGTGCAACTTCAACGCGTAGACTCATCCACAAACTTATATTATAGAATATGATGTTGCCGTTTTATTTATTTATATAGAAGTAAGCAAAATGTGAATTCAAGAACCCATCATTGCTATTTTTGTGACATTAAAACAATATAATTTTGCTTCAAATTGTTAAATTAAATCAATATTCACTTTACTTCCCAAAATATTCACGAACGACAATATTATTTTGAAAATTATTAAAATATATGTTTTGTAGTATCAAGTGGATAGAATGTGTATTTAGTCCTACAAAGTTTTTAATAAATTAAATACATTCTAATAATATTGTATTTTTTCCTTTAGCTTTAAAAATATTTGTTATATTTTTATTAATGACAATGATACACAAAATATTTACATGAATTATAATTTTAGCTCGTAGATTACAATTTAAAAGTATAATTGATATTAATCAAGACTCTCGTCCACGTAAGTTCGTTTGTCGTTCTTATTAACACTTAAAAAACAAATAGTAAATTTTAGAAGAATCTAAAAGGAATGTGTTTAAATTTTAAAAGGACAAAAAAATGAAAAGATTAGAAATATATTTAAAATTTTAAAAATTTTACCATGATGCAGAACAAATTTTTTCCGTAATAAGTTGAATGAAAACTAATTATTCAAAAGAATTTTTAGGGTTGAGAGATGTTTGTCAAATAATTTTTTTCTTAACAAGGTTATTTTAGTCATTTAACAAAGATGGGAGGTGTGGGAACAAGGTATGAAGCAAAAGCCATCTATTTTTTTGGGCATGACAAAGGCCCGATCCAATAAAAGGCCCAAAAAGAATGTTTCGAGAAAGAAAAAAGCAACTAACATATCAGTTTTGACGAAGGGAAAGTTCGGGCATAAGAAAACCTCTTGCAGTGTATGAACAGGACTTGAATCGGGGTACTGCATTGTTTTGTGAGACAAAAATTTAGAGTGTTAGAAGAATGGAGGAACTAAAATCTGCTATGGAGGAGCACATGGAGCTTATGGTAGATCTTGTTCAGAAGTTCTCCACAGATATTCGTGCTGGCTTTATCCCCGCTTATGATAACTTTATGGGTTTCTTCCATGCCATTGACTGGAAGGTAGCTTTCCAGTTTTGGTTTTTCTTAACTCCGTTTGTTCTTTTTTGATTTTCTAGTTTAGTGTTTGTTCTTCCTTTCTTTATCGATCTATGGGTTTTCAATTTAAGCTCCGTGTTCTTTTGTTCTTGGAACTCACCGTTTGTTGTATATTGATTTTCGATTTGCGGGTTTTCAGTTTAAGCTCATGTTCTTTGTGTTCTTGAGCTGTGAATTGTGGATTTGTGTTTTCAATTTGATTGTCAACGTGATTACCATAATGCGTTACTTCCTACAATTTAAGAGGCGATAAGGACTTTCTGGTGTTTGTTACTTGAATGACAGCTGCAGTGTTGAAGTCTGAACTTCTCTTATGACGAGGAGGGCGATTTTACTCCTATTTTAATAGATGGTTTCTTTCGTCAAGTATCCAGCCACATCTTATCAATACCTTTCATCAACCTTTTGTGTTAGATTTGCTATTCATAGTTGCTCTTTCACATTATATTTTTGTGTTAGAGTGCAATGAGATTGAATAAAACCAATTCCTCTCTTTTCTTATCAAAATCAAAATTAAAAGAAAAATTTACTGGACTGATGGGAGGCTTTCTAATAATTTTTCTGATGAAAATGTATTTCAAATCAGAAAGTGAAAATGTTCTCTTATGGTCTCTATTCTGATGTCATCGTCCATTGGTAGATGTTTAGTGCTTGTTTGTGCTGTGAGTGGCATGATTTTGTTCTTGGATCTCATTTTCTGCTATTATATTTTTAGTGATATAATCTTATGAATTTTTTTAGATGTTGTGTTTGGTGATATTTGATTATTGGAATAGGTATAAGTTGGATAGAAATTTTCAAATTCAAATTTGATGAAGAGGGGATGATGTACGAAAACTATTACTTCATTTGCAATTTGGTATTGTAAGTGACCCTTTCTTTATTGTTGTGATATTTTAATGTTCCATATTGGACATCAGTGGATCTGTAATGCTATCAAAGGTTATAAACAATATGATGGTATTTGTCTTGTCAGCTTAATAGAAAAGGAACAATGGAAGAGAATTCATGTTGGTTCTTGGCAGGAGTATCTTGAGATTTCATATCTATATACTGCTGTCTTAGTGTACAATGCTTATCACATTTACATATGTACTTTGGTTTTCAAATCATGACCTTCAGTGTTTTCTGTTCTCAGATTGTTCAATCTCTATCACTTTTCTTTTTCTGAACTCTCCTTTTTGGTTTACTAATTTTTCTTTTTACCCTTTGCTTCAGGAACCATGGATAATGGGATTAGCAGGATTCCATGCTGTGTTGCTGCTTGTAGTTATCATCTCTAGAAAGAAAACGAACTTTCAAATGTTTTTATTCCTTTTGACATGTATGTTACATTCCTTACTTATTTTAGGCTGAATTAAAACTGATATATTTATTTTGAGGCAGCTAGCCTAATTCTTGTTTCATTTTGTTGATTTCCTTGAATCC